ACTATAAAAAAATAAAACACAAATTATAATGGCATATATGTAAAATTTTGTTTTATAATTGTATAGCTGCTTATATTTTCAGATTTTCATGTTGCTCTGTTCTGAATACCTTAACATTTAATGGATTTGCTGCAACAAAATTTTGTCTGATATGCAGTGCTTGAAGTGGGCTGGTACACACCTTCAATATTTTAGTCTTTAGCGTACCAGCACTTTTTCGTGCGTACTGCACTTCTGACATGTTTATAATGACTTATACTGTGTTTTTACGCGCCGCGTAAACATAAAACCATGTCTGCATTTGTTATCGGAGAAACGGCAAACAAACAAGCACTACTCTACACTGTTTAAAACTCACATTTGAGTCATCAGTGGCAAATTCTTTAAATGTAAAAAATGTACTTACAGGCTGTGAGTCAGAAGTGCCAGACTGTCCTTGCAAAGTTGGAACTGCCCCACTTTATAGAACAGCCTTTGAGCACAGACCCATTGTAGGCTATGCAGAACTGTAGGTTCAGGAAACAGTCCTCCATAAAATGCGTCACACAGCGGCACACACTGCGGGCTAGAGTGAGCGGCGGCCGGCAGGCTTGAGAATGGTCTCGTGATCTCATGAAAGTGCATATAGCACAATTTTCTGCTTCTATTTGGCGTAATATTTATATGCAGAAATTGAATTTTGACATGCAAAAGACTGATAAATTCATAATTAATGGCATGGCTGGTTCAGTCGACAGAAATACGGGACACACAGGCCTATAATAACTGCTGAAATGTTTGCGGGGCAAATCTCAGGTCAGTCTGAGTGCTCATGGTACGCACAGTGCGTACAGCCATACCCCTGCAGGCGCCACTGATCAGCGCGGTCACATACGCTGTGCAGACAGAGCGAGAATGGCAGACAAACATCAACAACCTGATCTTCCTTCCTGGTATTGTAATACTTTTACTAATTGTGCTTTAAAGTTTTCTCACCGGTGAATAACACATGATGTATTGTAGTAAAGCTGTCTCTGGTCGTCTGGTGTGCATATGCGTTCAGGGGGCATAGCTTTGGATTTGCAGGGAGGGTGGGACGTTCGCTTTCAGCGCTATCAGGCTAAATTTAGCATTTTCCAAGATCTCCTACTGCACCTTTAACACATTCAGCCACAACAACTTGAAACTGACATCAAGAAGACTACAAAGTCAATAGAGAAGATGCTTCAGTGAAGAATGAATGTCTCAGTTACGTATGTAACCCTCATTCCCTGAAGGAGGGAACAGAGACGTCACGTCGGTAATGACCGACGAATTGGGATCTCGCTTAGAGAGACCAATCCACTTTGAGTGTAAACTACACAAGTGCACATTGGCATGTGATGATTGCATCCAGCTGCCGCTGATCGCAGCTTGGTCGCAGCGCAAGTATAACTAGGCAGCAGGTGCAACGCATACGCAGGTTTTCACTGAGGAGCCGAGTCGGTAACCCGGCCGCTCAGCGGTGGTACAGCAGCTGTGGCAACGGGATGTGACGTCTCCGTTCCCCACTTCAGGGAACGAGGGTTATATACGTAACCGAGACGTTCCCTTTCAGTCGGTCACTCTCGACGTCACGTCGGTAATGACCGACGAATTGGGATCCCTACCAAAATGCCATGGATGCTGCCCCTTCCAGTGTCCTGTGCAAGCCTACTGTGCCCCCTTTTCAGCATAGGCCAGGGCTCACAACAAGAAGGTCAGTCACTGTTGTCGTAGCACTACCCACTCAGTGAGATTGGATAACACTGGGAAAACGTACCCGTACCACTTGGAACAGGAACGTAGCCCCATCAGAGGCACAGGCACCCAGCCCCTTTGCAGGAAACGGAGCCTGGTCCGCAACTCCGCGACAGTCATTTTCCCACAATGAATGAATGAATGAATGAATGATGCATTTATTTAGCGCTTTATTGTGTATTGCTGTACACCCAAAGCGCTTTACAATGAGAGCATGACTCATCCACAAACACCGCCTCAGCGTGCTTAACTCCCAGACACGTGAGGCAGCGATCGTGACCATCACCCGGCGCCAGGTAATGACCACATCCAGAAATGCACGGGTGGAAGGGCATCTTTGAAAGACGCGTCTTTAAAAAGACGTCCACCAGTGAATGCTCTTTTAGAAATTTTAGTGTGCTGAAGTGCACAGGGGAGATGGCCGTCTGCAACACAACAGTGGGTAGTGCAGCCTGATGTGTGCAACCCACTCGACATGGGAAAAACCACCGCCGCTGAAGCGCCGTACCACCAGCACCAGAGCTTCCCAAGAGTGTGCTTTGAACTCGATGAGTCACTCGTAGTCAGAGAAGTCAGGAGCAGAACGATGTAACTCGACATGGGAAAAACCACCGCCGCTGAAGCGCCGTACCACCAGCACCAGAGCTTCCCAAGAGTGTGCTTTGAACTCGATGAGTCACTCGTAGTCAGAGAAGTCACTGACCGCTCGGCTCCGAAGCGAAAAGCTGAGTATGCGTTGCACCTGCTGCCTAGTTATACTCACGCTGCGATCAACGGCAGCTGGATGCAATCATTGCATGTCAATGTGCATTGGCTCGTTTAGTTTACACTCAAAGTGGATTGGTCTCTCTAAGCGAGATCCCAATTCGTCGGTCATTACCAACGTGACGTCGAGAGTGACTGACTGAAAGGGAACTGTTTTTCTGTGTTAACAATTCATAAAATACATTGACCGCCTACATGCTGACATTCCATATGTTTGACATTCCATATACGTTTTGTAAAAAAAAAACTTCCAAGTAACTACACAAAAAAGCATGCATTACCACATTCCCCACACATTATTGTCCACCCACAGTTACTGACTGCTGTAAAAACTGGGAAACATATCTATGGCTGAACTTATCAAAAATGTAAGTTGCTTTGGATAAGTGCTTGTCAGATAAGGAAATACAGATTCTCCAGTCTATGTTTCTTAAAATTTATACTGTCTGCTGTATATTCTCCACATCTTTAGAGAACATGTAAGCCTACATGCACATCTGACCCATTAAATGCATTATCTACACCAAGTGACGGCAGGTCATGAACACCAGCTGGCTGACTTATACCACCATCACAGTGTTATCATATAACTTTATCATTACTTTATGAATGTGACATGACACGTTTGAGAAGGAAAGGTAACGTTAAACAGATGTTATCAAGTCTTGCTACACCCAGCCCAGGCTGTTTGCATAAACTGCTTAGACAAGTCTTACAAGCTAGTCATCTAATTTATCTTTATTTAAGACTAGTCCTAACTTTTTAATATGGTTACTTAAAAAGTGTGCCTGCTGGAAAACTTATTAAACTGATATTTAGCTTATTTATTGGCAGTAGCTATATATGCTATTTACACTAAATGTAAATAGCAGTATTTTCTTTGCAATAATGTAAATAGCAGATGTAGATACACATGGCAGATATTTGCTCCTCAGTATTGTAGCACATTATAAACCAGTATTCATTAATAATATACTGAGTGTAAACGATCATATATATTAAAATTATTAAATGGATGCCATCTGGGACAATAAAGCCCTCCCTACACCCACCCCTAACCCTACCCGATAAACACTGTGCTATTAAATACCCGTGATGGCACTTTATTTCCACTTTTGAAATATTTCCTTCAATTTTATTGTGAATAAATGCCTTTCAAATCTGATATGTAATGGGAAAAAGGAAAAGAACAAGCTTGGCAAAAAGCAGATTCTCGCAGAACTCAGGTTGATCACTTTAGTAATATATTAATTATTTAAATGTACATCATTAACCACTTACTGTGAAAGTGGGATGCATTTTGAAGAGTGGACCCTTATCTTGAAATGTTGGCTGGTGTTTCTTGGAATAGTCCGAGCTGGCCAGAACTATAGGCGATGAAATGTAAGTACTGCGTTCACTTTGTACGTGTTTAAATGGCCGGTCCTTTGGTATTTATGTTAACCCTTTCCTCTCTGGTGTATTGATTTAAAAAACAAGCTCAGAACATGGATCTTGAGTGTTTTAGCTGTCAAATGATATATAGTTTATGATAGTTGATTGAATATTGTTTTAAAACAAAGGTAATTAAAAGCACAGACACGCCTAAATACGCGGTGCGGGTTAACAGGTTAAAACTTGTTATAAACCATATTTACGGTTTTGTCCTATATGATATGACAATGCACAATAGTATTGGACATGATTGGACTTGTTTATAGATTAAATCCCAGAAATGAGCATCATAGCACTTCAGGTTCCTTTGTCCTGAAGTCAATAGCTATGTTTCCATCCAAAGACGCGAATTTAACTTATGCGCAAAACTGGAATATTGCATAAAATGTTTGTGAATAAAGCACCGTTTCCATCCAACGAGTCAAAGAGAACAAAATCGTCACTTCCTGATAAACTGGCACTAAATACCCACATGAAAAAATACTATAGTAATTTATAGTAAAAAATACTATAGTGTTTTTGAACCATGCTATAGTAAAGTACTTGAATTAATTTGTTGTGGTAATTCTGTAGTTTCTATGGTAATATAACAATTATAGTAATATAAACAAATTACTTTACCCAATACTGTACTAAGTTTTCTACAACTAAAGGGTATATTATACTACAATACACTACAGTTTACTGTAGTAAAAACTAAAGCATATACAATCCAAATTGAAAAAAAAATGGAAAAAATCAAATACCCAAAAATGACAAAAATTGGTTTGATCAGGACTGCCAAACTATTCTCAAAAAAACTGAGAACATTGTCAAATCAGAAACACAAAGATCCAAATAATGCAGAGATCCGCCTTCTTTACAGTGGAACACTAAAACAATACAAACATACACTCAGAACCAAAAAATCACAATACACCCAAAAACAACTGACAATAATTGAGAAGTTAGTGAACTCAAACCAATTTTTGGGAAAATTGGAACAATCTGAACAAAAATGATCATGAAGAATTGGCAATACAAAATGGAGAAATATGGGAAAGTCATTTCCAAACATTGTTTGATAAAGTACAAACAGACACAAACTGTAAGCCAAATCAAACAATCAATCAACTGGAAATCAATCAAAGATAACCAAAACCCATTAGATTTCCCAATAACTGAAAAATAATTTAAAGAAAAAATCAAAAACCTCCAACTCAAAAAAGCATCTGGCCCTGTGTCAGGATTCTGGACTGTTCTGTGTCGTGTTTTGCCCCTGTTTCTGGTCCTGTGTTTCCTTATTTGGTCCTTCCTGTTTCCATTAGGTTCTCTGATTAGTTCATCTGTTTCCAGCTGTGTTTAGTTAATTATCCTCATTTCCCTGTGTACTTAAGTCCTAGTCTGTGTTGGCTCAAGCTCCTATTGTGGATTATCTCCTGTGTTTCGTGATTAAAGACTGTTAAATGTTTCCTCGTGACTCCAGTGTGTTCCCTCAACAGCGTAACGTGACAGAAGACCTTCGCCCGAGGACCACACTAGACTGTTTCTGGCCCTCGCCGAACTTACCAGCTACCCGGACGACGCGCTATGCGCATTCTATGAAGCTAGCCTGAACACCGCGTGCAGAGAGTGGTCATCCGAAGATGGTCTTCAAGCGGAATTCGCTGCCTTCGTGGAGTGGACTCTGGCGAGAAACGGATCGCCATCCTGCCCCGTGGATGATCTCGTCAGATCCACTCCAGACCCAGTGCCCAGCCCACCATCTCCCCGCGGTGCGGAGCATCAAAATAGCGAAATAAATTGGATTTGGAGATTTTGAATCTACTCAGCAAATCATTGAATGTCACAAATGTGTGATCGGAAAACAAATCCTGAAACGATACCAAACCCTTCTCCCTGAGCTGTGCAAAAGTTGAATCCAAAGCCGAAGGTGCAAAAAGGTGATTACCACAAATTGGCATATAAATGGATAAAGTGTTTAATTTAAAGTGGTGACGAAACTGTTTCCAGATTTTAAGCGAAGAAAGTACAATCGGGTTAGTGGTGTATTTAGAGAGGCGCCGCAAGTTGGGATCAAAAACTAATGCTGGTAACGAGGATGATATGCAGGAGCTAGCTTCTATCATACACCAATTAATATCCGGGGAGTTACACCATGCATATATTTTCTGAATATTAGCTGCCCAATAGTAGAAAAGGAAATTTGGAAGAGCGAGACCCCCTTCTTGTTTGGTTCTTTGAAGAGTTGACTTGTGTACACGTGGAGGCTTACCAGCCCAAATATACGAGGATATAGTGGCGTCAAATGATTTAAAAAAAGATTTGGGGAGAAAAATGGGAACAGTCTGAAATAGAAAAAGTATTCGTGGAAGGATATTCATTCTAATTGATTCAATCCTACCTACTAATGATAGTGGAAGACTGCTCCACCGCTGAAGATCTACTTTAATGCGGTCCATTAATTTTGTAACATTTTCTTTGTGCAATGACTTCAATGAGTTTGAAATATAAACCCCTAAGTAATGGAAGCCTGTAAAAGACATGCGAAAAGGGAGCATAGCTGGAGAAATCTGTTTTGCCAATTCATTTATGGGAAAACACTCACTTTTAGCAAAGTTCAGCTTATATCCTGAAATAGAGTCAAACTCATTCAACAGATCCATTGTTATCTATGCAGTTAAGAGGGTCTAAAACATATAACAGGAGATCATCTGCATATAATGAGACACGATGTTCTCTTCCTCCTCTGTGAATACCTGAAAATACTGAAGATGATTTTAACGCTATAGAGAGAGGCTCTATAGCCAAAGCAAACAGGAGAGGAGAAAGGGGGCAACCCTGATGGGTGTCACGAGAAAGAGAGAAATAAGGGGACGTTTCAGAGTTTGTTTTCACACAAGCTGAGGGAGTGGAATACAGTAAACGAATCCATGAGATTAGTTTAGATCCAAAACCAAATTTTTGTAAAACCACAAATAAATAATCCCACTCCACACGGTCAAAAGCCTTCTCCGCATCTAGCGAGATAACCATTTCTGGGCTTGATGTCCCAGATGGAGTAAGGACTACATTCAGAAGTCTACGTATATTGGATGACAACTGACGACCCAGTATAAAGCCAGTTTGATCATCTGATATAATGGATGGAAGATGAGCCTCTAACCGTTTGGCCAGTACTTTAGCTAGTACTTTAACATCATTATTAATTAGGCTAACAGGTCTGTAGCTGCCACAAATTTTAGCATCTTTGTCTTTCTTTAATATTAAGGAAATCAAAGCTTGGTTTAAAGATGACGATAAGAAGCCTTGATCTAAGGAATGATTGTATAATTCTAATAATAAGGGGGATAACTGAGTGGAAAACTTTTTTAAAAATTCCGCAGGGAAGCCGTCAGGGCCAGGAGCTTTGTTGTTTTTCATGGTTAAGATGCAGGAGGCTATCTCCTCCAAGCTAAGAGGCTCATCTAGGCTACTGGCTATATCTGGGCTTATCTTAGGAATTTCTAATTGAGAAAAGAAAGACTGAATAGCAGCCATGTCCAAGCAGGCTTCTGACTTGTAAAGATTAGAATAAAAAGAACTAAACTCTGAGTTTATTTTAACCGGATCTGTAATAAGGTTATTTGAGGAGTCATACACCTGTGAGATTAACTGGGAAGCAGTTTGATGTCTGAGCTGAGATGCTAGAAGACGACCAGCTCTATCTCCATGCTCATAATAGGTTGCTCTTGTGCGTTTTACAGGGGCGCCCGCCTTGTTTGTTGTCCGTAAGTCAAATTCAGTTTGTAGTTTTAGCCGCTGTGTCTCCAGAATAGGGTTTGGTGACCTGGCATTTAGCCTATCTACTTCTAAAATTTTGTCAATGAGTTCCTGCTTTTTTAATTTCCTAGCTTTAATCCAATATGCATTAAAATAAATAATCCTTCCACGTATAAAAGCTTTAAATGTTTCCCATAGAAGTGATGGCGAAACCGATTCTGATTTGTTGGTTTCCAGAAAGAAATCAATTCTCCTAGAGATATAATCACAAAATTCTTTATCAGTCAACAACCCAGTATTAAGCTTCCAGCCTCCAGCATGTCTACATA